GTTATACTGCCATCTTTCGGTCAAACACAGTAGTGGAATGATGCCGTTCCTAATGTGTGGTCTGGGAGGAACATTTATACCTTACTTTTGATCAGCACTCAACTGCTGGTTGATGTCGAGTGGTACTGAAATTCAATTAAATATTAAAAAACAAGTATACATTTATAATGAAGAAAAATAACCAACTGATAGTTATACATTTCTGTGATATCAAATAGTATGTGATGGAAATGAATGAATATTTAAATCAAACGTGCTGCTTTATCAAGTAGATAGATGAGCCTCAGAGGGCAAAGGATAACCACACTAAATACTAAACTGTAAGGTCTGTCAATACGGTAAAAAATATGATCAATAAATTTAAAGAAATTCGAATATACACAAACAATGTTTAGACATGGATTTGTTAAAGATTAATTAATATATTATCTTATTTATATAAAAATTTAGGTTTAAGTCAAAAAAATAGATAGATTAGCCAACTACACCTAGGTTATTATACACAGGCTAATGTTAGTAAATAACATGCATTAGTTGAAGTTCATTTAAAAGAAAATAAATGATAAAGATTAGCTGGTCTTTATGCAATAATGTAACAAACAACAACAAAAAGGTTCGTTGCATAGATAAAGATTTTGAAGTTTTAACGTTGATCTATAGATTTTTCCATATACGTTGTGGTTTAAAATCATTTTATATTTTTTTATTTATGACTGATAAAATCCTCTTTAGTAAACCAGTAAATATTATATTCAACCTCTGTAATGTAAATTATTGTATTATTATTATTGTATTATTTCTGTCCAAAAACACCTGCTGTTTAGATACGGCAAACGCTGATTTGAGGCGGGGCCAGGAGGAGCACAGTGACGTCATATCGACTGGCTACATTAGCGGCTGCGTAAGTGCACAAACGTCACACGCCTTGGAGAAGCAGGCCTTTCTGATAGAGGAAAAGGGAGATCCCATTTCTACATGAAACAGCTGCAAATGAACAGAGGTTTGTGCGCGAAGTAACGCGCTTCTACTGATAACGACCCTATTTTATCTTCATTTAATATAGAAATTATTGTTATTGTTGAAAAATTAAGAATAACTAATAATAGTAGGTGATGCGTTTCCGCTCTGAGGCTGAGGCGCTGTGTACCGCTGTTGCTAGTGTTTTCGGTAAATATGTAGTTACCTGCAGGAATACTGGTAATTTCACATTGGCCTTCCATTTACTATTATAGTTTATTTATAATATTATATACACTATTAGTACTAACGTTACGTACAGTTGAGTACGTATTCTTGCTTACAAAGTAGTAAGGTTCGGGATGGTGACTTATTGTTTTTATATAGTATATGTTATCTTGATTCACTTACTTTTTCATAATATATATATACATATATATAAATGATATCCACTTTGACTGGTTGATACTGTAGTGCTCATAAATATATCCACTTTCACTGGTTGATACTGTAGTGCTCATAAATAAACACTTTAGTAGTTTTATAGTAATATGAACGAGAAGACATTTCTTAGAAATAATGGATGACATTTTGACCCAAATGAACCAAACTTGGTAAGCACGTTTTCAGATGTTTATTCTGCGTAAGTCCCAAAGCTATTGTATATGTATATACAGTAAAAATGCTTATTTTGAACTTTAATGTTGCCATGTTTTTGCCGTTTTATCCTGTACAGACATTCTTCTGAACATTTTCAGAATTTGTCTTATGTTAATAATTAATTTGACCCATATTTTGGATATGTTGTGTAATTAATTATATTAATATACTGTGTGTACAGTGGTCCACTGATAGCCCTCATATTTTTACCTGTGCTGTGCTCTGATTTCTCTCCAGGTGATTCTGAGATATGGACGGAGGAAATTTGTGAGTAAAACTTTGTGTTATAATTCTTTTTTTTTATTATTTAATATTCATCATACTCAATAAGACACAAGTCAATAGACATTATTTGTAAATCACAAAATAAAGGTGTACTTGACCATTATTGAACATTAATGAGGATGTTTTATTGTTGACCGAGTGATATGTGAACAGTTAGTTTTATTCAAGTTTTAAACAACGAAAAATAGTAATTAAACCAGAGAGGGAAGGTCTGTGCTCTGCTAAAGTGAGACTCGTGAATGTTGCAAGTTTTAATTGGATTATAACGTTGTTCAAGCGTTTAATCAGTTCTAGAACGCAGTTGAGGTTAGTGGCTTTTTGCGCTTTTGTCTAGCGTGCAGAAAGACGGGACAGAATGCTAACATTGAATACATAGGCTATAATTAATTATACAATATTTAAAAAAAAATCAGAGACATAACCACAGATGGAGCTTTTGAACTGGCAGCTGTTTTGAGGTTGAGCTACTGTATTTTGACCATGAACTCCTGGGAAACATGATGCGAGACGACCCGAAAAAAATCTTTTGCGACCCAGTCTTTGGGAAACAATGGTCTAGGTGACTCACCAGACCCAAACCACAACACATGGGTTAAAATGCAGAAAGAGAAAAAAAACAGAGTTTACTATCTGTTTGCATTATCCCGTATCTGAAATATTTGTTTTTCGTTTTGAACATCGAACACTAATGAAATGACCCTCAGCTCATTTGAGTTGGAAACCCCTGGTTTAGAGGGTTAACATACAAGTGTGGTCAGTAATACAGTACCTGAATTAGTCCAGTTTCATCTCAAAACTAAATGTTTTTTGGCCATGACTAAATCACTCTCTTTAACCTCAACCTCATGTGTGACTGCAGTGGTTACTCCAGGGACTACTTTGATCGCTTTATCCAGAGCCAGGACTCGTCCGTGGTGAACAAGTTCCAGCAGAAGTACTGGAAAACTAAGCAAACCCTCCTCAAGGTCACAGGGAAGAAGGAGGATGAACATGTGGTGGCGTCGGACGCAGATCTGGACGGCAAGCTGGAGGTGAGGACGTGAATGTTACATGACATTAAACCATGTTTTCTTTTGTCAAAGTCAGTGAAGGGTGGTGGTGTAGTGGGGGGAATAGAACAGACTTTTCAAAGGCATGGTTATCAAGCTGCTTTCATTGATGTGCGGGGGATTCTCACATTACTTTTGTTGGAGCTGTGTTGTAGCGGAATCACTTAATAGCGTTATCACTTACTTCGATGCAGTCCTATTGCCTGTGCAGCAGTCTGGCAGCCGACAGCAGGACATGATGGAGTTTTTTTGTTGTTTTTTTTTTTTTAAGCTGATGTTTTACCTCTACCCCAGCAGGCTCTTTCGCTCCCAGAACTTTAAGGAGAAACAGGAGGTAGATTTCCTAGCCCCAGGTGTTCTCTGGCCTATATTTTAATTTATAACCTTTTTCAAATTTAAACAGTTCCAGCATTTGCTCAAGGCTGAAAACATGCATTAATCCCCTTGTCTACTCTCCATTATCTCCCATTTTTACTCCAGGACTGAAGGAAATTACAGGATTATAATCGATACGTTATAAAAGCAAGAACACCCAATTTAAATTTAAATCAGGTTGTGTTGTAAACCACAAACAGCTGATATCTCCGTAGTGGATCAGAGATGGTTTAATCCATTTGTGAGGGGATATTAAACACCCTAGGCTTCCAAGTTTGTTTTGACTAATATTTTGAGTTTTTTCTCTTCGGCCTTCCAGGTCTTCCACTCCATCCAGAGAACGTGCATGGAGCTGTTGAAAGTCATCGAACAGTACCAGCGCAGGATCTGCTGTACGTGCAAGTATTTGGTAGAAGTTACTCCATACATGAGGTTATTTTGTCAGATTATGGTGCTTTGTACTGGATCATCAAGCCAGAGCAGAGCTACAGTAACTTCTCTTTTCTACTCAGAAACTTCCCCAAGTATCTGCTCCTACTTTATGGCCAACATTTGGATTCCAGTCACTATTTTCTGGAGAAACAATTTAATTTTTTTACGATGCAGTGGTGTGACCGAGGATTGCCTGTCATACAGTTGTTTTGTGTATTTCTGGTGTCATCACTTCTGGAAGCAGAAGTTGTAAGTTATGGTGAGGCGTAGTCAGCAGAGAGCTCCTCCGTGACGTGATTCCGTATAAATCACGCTCTCAATTGACAGTCAGTGCTGGTGGCCACACGAGAAACTGCAAGTTTCAGCAACTTAACAAAAAAGACCAAAACACTGAAAAAGCCTATAAATTGTCAAATAAAATGGCCCACGGTGTCTCTGGAGCATGTTTACTGCTTCATATTGCCTTTAGATGGCCTTCTCTGGCCGAAAGTTGCGTTTGTAAACCATTGTAAACCACTGGCCATTGTAAACCGTTCAATCATGTGTGCCCAACCCATAGAGAAAACTTACAACTTTTTAGCTGTAGAGGACAGAAGGCTAGCTTCTGTCACGGAGGTAAATCTAAGCAAATAATCCCGATACCTGAAGTAGTAAGTCAGAAAATAACACATTTTTACTGACGAATAGAGGCAGCAGTGGAGCAACATCCTCTGAGTGCTGTGACATTAAATCACTGATTTTTGTCCTTGGTGTTTGGTGCAGGGGGAGAGAATAGTTGGTTGACACAATACTTTGTTTCTTCTGTGTTAGTGAAGAAATTGACAGAAAAAAAATCATTCTTAAGACACTTCGATCAGTATAGATTTTGTTAATTAGCTGATTTGTATCGTAGGAAATTGTACGTTCTTTGTCTGCGTATGTTGGTTTTTCCCATGGTTGGACTTCACAGTCCAAAAATACACAGATTGGAGATCAGGTTAGTTGTTCACTGGAAATTGACCCTAGAGATGAGTGTGAATACTCGTTTATCTCTATATTCTCTGTGGCTCGTGATGGACTAAACTGTCATGGCTCTGACTCCACCACGTCCATGTCAGGAATTAAGCAGTAGAGAGAGTTTCATTTTTTAAGAAAAGAGGGGGAAAAAAATGACCGAATTTACCTTTTTGCTGTACAAGAAAGCCTACTGTCAATGTTGAACAGAGCCAGAAAGAAGGTATATCAGAACAACATGACCCAGAGGTAATATTAACCACGTCGACTATGCAGTTCTGTCACAGGAGGAGAATGAACTGGGTCGATTCCTTCGCTCTCAGGGTTCCCAGGATAAAACCAGGGCCGGAAAGATCATGCAGGCCACAGGGAAGGCTCTGTGCTTTTCCTCCCAACAGAGGTAACAAACACCCACTTTTTTTAATAAATACTAAATTTTATGACACACTTCATCATAACAGCATCATTGTAAAATGTCAGATTTTACAGTTTTTTGCATTTAAATCACACTGTAATTTACTGCGTTAATTGTTTTATTCTACAGATTGGCTTTGAAGAAGCCGCTGTGCCGTTTGTACCAGGAGGTAGAGACTTTCCGGTACAGAGCTATCTCTGATACGTGGCTGACAGTAAATAGGATGGAACAGTCCAGGACTGAATACAGAGGAGCACTGCTTTGGATGAAGGATGTGTCTCAGGAACTGGACCCAGACACACAGAAACAGATGGAGAAATTCAGAAAGGTTTGTTCACCCTACGTTTATGTTCATAGTTCACCTTATTACTGTGGGTACCAGAGGTGGGGTGAGAGTGTGCTGGTACTCTGGACAGAAGTGTGCCGCTGCTGTAATGATTAAATGAAAAACATGCCTCCAGTCACTAGGTGGCAGCAATTCATACAGTGGTTTGTACAGATAAAAATATATAAATCATTAGGTTATCAATAGTTTTTCAGTTCAGGGTGGCTTGAGAACATTTCTACCCCTTGACAGACAATAATTAAGGGCATTTTGAGATTTTTGTTAGAAAGAAAAAAATTCTGAATATTTAAAAAAAAATCAAATTACACCTTTTTGAAAATGTATTTAAGAAACACCTTTTTCAGGAATATTTTGAAAAAAATCAATTTATGGTCAGATGTTGAAAAATTGTAGTTTTTTTTTTCCAGAATTTTTCTTTTGGCATAGTCCTAATCCAACTTGTCATTTTGGTCAGATGTTGAAAAATATGATTAAACGTTTTTTTGGCAAGTTGCTTTCAAAATTCTATCCTGTCTGAATGTTTTTCATCAGATTAAACCATTTTGAGAATTTTGAAATTTTTTGAAACATTTTAAAATTTTGATGAAACTTTTTTCATATTTTTTCATATGCAACTTTTTGCATATTTCTCATCAGATTTTAGCAATCTTTTTAGAAATGTTTGCAATGGAATATTTCTGTCCCATCGATGTGATGAGACTTGGCTCCACACCACTGGTAGCTACTGTTTCTGGACTAATGGCCATTGTGGTTTATTGTGACCTTTTTCTTATGATTTCAGAGATGGTTGGTTGTTTCAATTTATCATTGCTATCAAAGAAATGAAGTCATTTTTTTTATTTCCTAAACTTGAACTGCAGTGTTTTGTGTTTTTGCTTCCACCTACACAACCACACAAGTCAATTGTATCTCTAGATGACCTCCAGCCTTTCATTTCTGCTGTGTCTCAGGTCCAGACCCAGGTCCGTTCCACCAAAAGCAGCTTTGACAAACTGAAGAATGATGTCTGTCAGAAAGTGGACATGCTGGGAGCCAGTCGCTGTAACCTACTGTCACACGTGTTAACAACATACCAGGTACAACACAAAGTCCTGCCCAGCGCACACTGGACATTCACCTTGAGGACTTGTACATCACTGTGCAGATAAATGAACCTGAACTCAATTGTTGTTTTGTTCTCTCAGACCACTCTGTTTCACTTCTGGGAAAAAACGTCCCACACCATGGCGGCCATCCATGAGAGCTTCAAGGGCTGTCAGCATTATGAGTTCTCCATGCTGAAGGTCGGGCAGAGGCTCGACGTAAAATGACCGAATCTGTTACCTGTTGAGAAAATGTCACTAACTTTTGGAATAACAAAGTGATTGATTCTGCAGGCGCTGCAAGACTCCACAAACAAAGGGGTAAAAAAGAAAGGGAAGAAGAAAAGTAAAGCAGAGAAGGAGGAGGGAAAGAAAACGGAGAACTCAGACGAGAAGTAAGCATTGTTGTTTTTTTCATCTTTCATCATCAAGAGTAGGATAACATAGTTTACCTTTTAAATACTTCATCTAAAATGTATTATATTAACTATATCTATATTTTAAATCACTAATATTTATTTTATTTGCTCATGATCTACCAGTACACCAGTCCACAAGGGGGCATTATCTCTGTGTGAAGGCCTGTTTTATGAGCCCACAATAACTATGCCAACATTTAGTTGTTTTTTTTCTTCAGTCCACTGTAATTCTCTGCAGACTATTCAAGTGTTGTACTTATTTCCATTCTGTAGCTTCTTTTGGCCAACTTAGATTTTTGTCTAAACCAGTGGTTCCCTAACGCACTTTGTTTTTTGTTATGTTAATTCCTATGGCTTTACAAAGGGAAATGAGCAGTTATCCTCACAGTGGTACAGTTATAGAAAACAGTGAGATTGAAATTCAGCTGCTTCTTTAAATATTAGTTTAATTTTGTTTGTCTTTTTTCTCTAAAACATGTGTGTCAAAATACGGCCCATGGGCCAGAACTGGCCCGCTTGGGGTTTTAATCCGGCCTGCTTGATGAATTATAAAAAAAAGTACACTTTGTTAAAAAAAATGATTTCATTATAATTAATAGAAAATATATATACTTGTGCTTCTCTGCATGAAAACACCTCTGCTCAAAAAGATCCTCGTAAGATAAAGTTTGAAACTATGGTTCAAACAAAGCTACTGTACTGAGAAAACTGTGTTAAATTGTATATGCAGTTCATGTTCATCTTCACTACTTGTCTTTAATATCTGTAGACTCGTCTCACTTGGTGCTGAAAATGAGACAAGCATACAAGGTGAGACACCACCAAGTTTCCTTGCTTTTCTATATAAGAGACAATTTAGACACAAGTCCTAAAGCGCTTTTTACTGACTCTTACCAGAAAATGCAAACCCGTCCTCGTACTGTGCAGTGTTGGACGAAGAACAGGACAGCCTGGCCTTGTTGAATGAGATTCTAGGCGGCATGTCTGTGGACGAGGGGGACTTTTCTCAAGAGTGGACAGCAGTGTTTGGAGACACAGAGGGGATAAACTCAGGGTGTGAGAGACAAACTGAAGCTCAGGAAAAGGAAGAGTCTTTCTTTCTTCCATCTCAGCTGCTGGACCAGAGCCTGAAGAATCTCAATTCTTCTGTCTCAGGTGAGAACCTCTGTAAAAACAAAATGTGTATTTGTCTAAAAACACAAACATGTTTTACTTACAATATTTAAGTTTCCCTAACTGTGGTGGAATGAGGTCAGACAGAGGTCTACAGAGAAAGGCCTTTTGCATATGCATGTACACTTTACATTAAACTGCAGAACCTTAATTCAGTGGTTCCCAACATAGTTTTGGCTTGTGACCCAATGATGACATCACAAATGTTTGGCTGCATTTTATTTGAACTAGATGTACTGGAAATCAACCAAAGTAAAAGATTACAGTTGTTTAAGACATCAATTTTTTTTACTAATTACTAAACATTTCAGGTGACCCCCTTTGACTTCCAGGTGACCCCCATGGGGCCACGATCCCAAGGTTGAAAAACATTGCCTTAATTTGAGACAAATTGTAGTAAGAGACTTTTCTTAAAATGTATCTGTTCAATATTTTCTTACAAAAAGCAGATTTTTCTTTCATAATGTGATGAAAAATAACAGCAAGAATATCAATTGCCGGTGTGATTGAGTCATTTCTTTTGACTCTGACTACAGACTTGTCATGGAGTAAAATGTCAACAGTACTCTTTCTGCTCATTTTTGTTGTTATCACATTCTTTTTCTTTTTTTAAAATCAGGACTAAAAACAACGCATCATAATGAACTCCCATGAAGTCCAACCTCAACGTTGTTTTGCAAATGTCAGCTTGTATTTATTAAACAATGGCTAGAGACTGTTATTCTCTGCTTCATGGAGCTTATTGGTCATGTATGAAACACCAAATCAAATGTCTCCTGCTAATTGACCTGATTGTGTCTCTCAGATGCAGACTGGAACAGCTTTGGTCAGCAGAAATGTGTCCAAACAACTGAAGCCTCTCCTGATGCCAACTTCAACCCATCTAAAGTGACAGCAAAGGGTGTGTTTTCCATTGAGTGTTTGGATTGTTTTTATTTTATAGTTAAGGACTGACAATCTTTTTTTGAGCCAAAAACTAGTCGACTAGACTAGTACGTAAATTAGAATGAAAATAAAACCCATTAGGCTAAACAAGGAAAATATACTTTTACAATGTGTTTTTTGTTTTGGTTTGAAAAATGTTCAATTTCCGCAACCTAAGTCCATAGAGAAAATAAATAATTTTAGCAAACAGACCCACAATAGCTGCAGATCTACTGCTGCTTCCTGTGGTCAGTTTGGGTCACTAAAACACTGAAAGGTCACAAAGTAATATTTTTGACTAAGTAATGACATTGTTTGCTGACCTAGAAATAGCAAGTGCTGTTTTGTAAAATTATGTTTTTTCTATAAAGTTTGTTGCACAGTAGTGAGATGTGAACAAACAGACACCAACTTCAGTTTAAAGAGATGGAGTGTATAATATATCCTTCAGACCAAAGTCATCTATGGTGCAAAGTACTAGTACTAGTGACTAGGGATGGATCGATACAATTTTTCCATGTCTGATACCAATACTACAACTTGGAGTATCTGCCGATACCGATATCTTCTCCAGCATGCTGTTGCTGAGCTGATAGTTCTGGGCTTAGGTATCGGATCAGACTGACTATAGTTGTGTTTATATCAGACTGATACCGATCCTGAGTATCGGATTGAGCCATCTCTAGTGACTATGTTTAAGTTGTTCATTTGTGTGTATGTTCCAGGAACAGCGGCAGCATCCAGAGACCGCTCAGCCTGGTTCAACCTGTTCGCTGACTTGGACCCACTCTCCAATCCTGACACTGTGGGAAAAACAGACCCGGCACATGAACTCCACACAGCATAGTTCTTCCTTCCTCAGAGTTATACTCACTCTACCAGAAAGAAGAACTTGGTTTTAGTCACAACTGCAGCAAATATTCTTCCTGGTCACCACAAAAGAATCGGTCGTCTCACGGAGGTTTTCAGGACTCCTGGCAAGACTATACCAAAGGTAACTAAAGGTAACTGAAAAGTAAAAGTAAATAGCTGATGATAATGATTGTCAGGTGAGTAATAAGCTACGTAGGCGTTAGCTAAAGGAAAGTGGTGAGAATCAACATTTTCAAATGTTTGGAGAATGTTTAAATGAAAAATTGCTTAAAGAATTATTCAAACAGATGTGGATTATTGAGGTAATTAACTCATCGTCATGCATTGTAATTCATGACCTTTTTTTAATGATGGCTGGAAAAACTTTGCTGCAGTTGATCCTCATTACGAAAAATTATGTCAGGCAAACAGTTACTGAGCCTGAACCAGAACTATGAGCCTTTGACTTTGGCTGACTCAGGTCTAAAGTCCTCTCCTGGTTTTTCTGCATCCGTTTCGGATTCTTGTCACTGATGTTTGCAAAAACAGAAATTAATGAAGGAAAACTATTTAAAAAAATCTGCTTTAAGACAGATTTTAAATATGATCTGTCTCTGTTTGGAGGTTGCATGTTCTCTCCGTGTGTGCGGGAGTTTTCTACCGGCTCTCCAGTTTCCATTCACAGTCCAAACATACAGGATGAGGTTTAATGTTCACTCTAAGTAAACCATAGGTGTGAATGGGAATGCGAATAGTTTTTTATACCATATGAACTGGTGGGCCGCCGGCTCGTAGCCCCCTGACTCTAAAAATGAATAAGTGGTAGAAGATGAATCTAAATATATTCTACCATAAGCTGGCCACTGCATGTTGCATGACTGTGTGATTTCTAATTATTGATCACAGTTAATAGCATTTTTGCTGATTTGTGTATTTTTCTTAAACATTATCATACAAACACTGATGTTTTGATTTTTCAAATTAATGAAATAAATCCAGTTCCCCAGTTCTCCTCCGCCGCAACGTATTTGAATGACATTTTACACATGGAAAGAACATGTTCCAAAAAAAGTTATTTTATTTTGCACCCAAGATTTTCGACCAGAAATGGCCTGAAAGTCCATTTTAGGTTTTCGGCTTTTATCACCAAAATAACACCGCCGAAACAGGAAGTTATGATGACGCAAGCAAAAACCGCCGATAGTGCCAACATGTCTCAACGGTGTGGACGTAATTCAATCTATCTGAGAAAGACCAACAGATAGCTATTTGCAAAACGTGTAATGCGTACTGTAATGCTTACGCTACTTTCACGACGGCGTGCACCTGCAAAGAATTTCTCCACATCGGATTTGATGTACCTCCTGAAATCCAAACATCCCGACCGTGAGCGCAGACCACGAGGTCCCCGCGACATTGACTTCACACCAGTTGGTCCTAATAGAGAACATCCTCTCTCCTCTTCCCCCGTTTGAGCAGCTAACTAAAGAGACTTATTGATTGTTTACATTTTTGGTGCATCACTAAGTTTTATTTTGTATGATGCAACACGTGCCAGTGCTTTCAGGATGGCTACCAGGTAAGAAGATCTCTTTTTCTTTCCATGCTCTTTTTCTGTTCCAAGTTAAACTTTCTGTTATGTCTCCTGCAGATATTTATAATGTAGCAGTTAGCATGCCTGACTATATAAATACACACATGGCAATATTGATGATCATTGCAGATACTGCTAGATTTCCACGTTTAAAAAAATGTTTGTTTTTTTTAGAATAATGCCTATTTATATGAAGTGAACATTTACTCAATCAACGTGGCTTCGTTGTTGCTAACAAAACATGCTGATGTTCCTCATACTCCGCAACTCAATTCTATCTGATCGTGATATTTTGAGAAGTTCAGAAATTATGTTTTTTAGCACAAA